TATGAATAATCTCTTGTGATGTTGCTTATTAGTGAAGAAACATGTCAAAACACCATGAATTATGAGTCAATTGAAAATTGTAATAATTCCAATCTTCTCAAAATGTCATTTCTGATCAAAATGAGTGGTCATTTGCCTTTGTTTGAGCACATAACAATTTATTTGAATTTCCCACCAAATAAGGCCTTTAATTTCTCTTCTTTTAAAGCCACTTCAAGCCAATCTTTGATATGAGCCAAACCAATTCACCATGAGCTCTTGGTTGACCTAAAAACCATATTTTGAGCAAGTTCCATGTTGAACAAAATTGCATTTGAGATGTGCAAGTTGGAGATTTTGACCTATGATTGAAAATGACCTATAATCTCACTTTCCCAAAATACCCCTAACTTGTAAACCTCACAACTTGAGTTCTACAAATCATATGGAAGACTTATAATACAATTTGGAAAGCTAAGATGATGAGGAACAACTTTCATGTTGGCCAAAAGTTTAGGAGAAACACCTTCCTAGGTCAAAAGTAGCTTGGAAGTCAGATGATTTTCACAGACAAATTTCAGAGGCATCTGAGGACCCGTAACTTGTCTGGACCATAACTTGAGTTCTATAAATCCAATGGAGAACTTCTAGTACTCAAATTAAATCTAAGAGCATCGTATACAACATTCATGTGGAGGCCAAAGTCATATGAGGCTTGTACCTTGACTTAAATGGCTTGGAAGTTTGGCACTAAACAGGGGATTTTACCCTAGGAACCCTGACTTAGCAACTCCAACCACTCTTGATTCTTCTCAACTTGATCTTGAAAAAACCTCTCATATGCCTCAACATATCATTTCACAATCTTAATAACCTAGAAGTAGGCTTTGATCTTCTTCAATTGCTCATTTTGGCCTATGATTAACCAGATGAAACCCTAGTGACACCAACTTCCACTGTGACTCTTGTACTTGCTATAAACATTTGATTGAGCTCTGTCCTGATCCTATAGGAACTCCATGAGCTCTATCCACACATCATATCCACATCCAAGGCTCCACAACCTCTGATACTCTTCAAATGACTCCTCGTGCTAGGAGATAAACCCCATACAAGCAACTGAACCTCTTAAGAACCCATCCCCCTGACTGATGATTATGATGGCTTCTCAAACTTGCGTAAGACCTCTGGCTAGGCTTCTTTTGACATATATTACACTTGATCCCCTGCTAAATGCTAATGTAATGATATGCAAATGCTAGAACTATGTTAGAACAATGTTATGCTATGCAATGAAACATAAACCAGGCGAGAGAAGGTTAGGCAAATTTTGGGGTGCAACACTCCCCTCATGACTTCCTTTTTATCTCTATTTGTGACAACACATTCTCCCTTTGTGAAGTTGACATTGAGTCCTTGATCACAGAGCTGACTGATACTGATCAAGTTGGCAGTCAATCCCTTCACCAGTAATACATTGTCTAGGTTAGGAACTCCAGGACAATTTAGTCTCCCAACCCCTTTGATTTCCCCTTTTTCTCCATCACCAAAGGTCACATATTTAGTGGAATGTGGTTTGATGTACATCAAGAGATTCTTTATTCCAGTCATGTGCTTAGAACAGCCGGTGTCAAAATACCAGTCTTCTTTAGCTAACACTCTCAGAGAAGTATGAGCTATCAGACTAACCTCCTTTGCCACCCATTATTGCTTCTTGACAGGAGCATTTTGATGAAGGTGACTAGGAAATCCATGCAGACAGAAGCAAAAAAGGTTTTATGTGTCCAAATTTTCCACAGTAGTGACACCTCCACATTTGGGACTTTCTCCTTCCCTGATTCATGTTTTTGGTCTTCTGATGTTGTGACATTGGTCATGACATCCGTCTTGGTCTATGATTTTCAACCTTTGGTTTCAAGGTGGGTTTCTGTTCATCTATAAATTCCAGTCCAGACATGTTTCCAGCTTGCTGACCACTCTGTAGGATTTTTTCTAAAGTGTCAGTCCCAGGGTTTAGCATCCTGATAGATTTAGTCATCTGATCAAGTTTGGAGTTTAACATTTTGACCTCACTGTTGAGTGAGTCAATGGTTGCAAGATTCTCCTTCTTCTCAGCTTCCAACTTCTTGATGATTTTCTTATGCTTCTCCCCTAGTTGACATATTTCAGCACTCTTGTTGTATAGCTGTTTATATGAGGCTGCAAGTTCATCAAAGGTCAGCTCATCTTCACTTGAGTCACCCTCAGATATGCATACAATGTTCAGAACAGTGACATGCTTGGCTGATTCTTCTTCTGATCCACTCTCAGAATCTCCATCAGACCAAGTAACTGCTAGGCCCTTCTTTTGCCTCTTGAGATAGGTGGGACATTTTGTTTTAATGTGCCCATATCCTTTACATTCATAACACTGATCTCCCTTGTTTTGGTTAGACTTTTCTTCAAACTTGTCTCTTTTGTCAATGTCAAATGAGATGTTATTGGCATTGGATATGTCCTTCTTATCTACCATTTTCATGAGTCTGTTGACTTGTCTACCAAGCATAACTACAACTTCTGAGAGATTCTCCTTGCTTCCATCATTGTCTTCATCAGAGTCTTCTGCAGTGTTTGATGCAAGTGTTATGCTTTTGTTCTTTTTCTCCACAGCCTGATCACACATTCCCATTTCAAAGGTTTGGAGAGAACCAATGAGTTCATCCACCTTCATATTGCATATGTCTTGAGCTTCTTCAATGGCAGTGACCTTCATGGCAAACCTTTTAGGTAAAGATCTGAGAATCTTCCTCACAAGCTTTTCTTCAGACATCTTTTCTCCCAAGGCTCCTGAGGTGTTAGCTATCTCAAGAATATTCAGATAGAATTCATGAATAGTCTCATCCTCCTTCATCCTTAGACTTTCAAACTTGGTTGTCAACATTTGTAATCTTGACATATTGACTTTAGAGGTTCCTTCATGAGTTGTTTTGAGAGTATCCCAAACCTCTTTAGCCAGCTCACAATGATGCACCAGTATGAAAATGTTCTTGTCTATACCATTGAATAATGCATTCAAAGCTTTAGAATTCCCAAGAGCCAAGGCTTCTTGCTCTTTGGTCCATTCTTCTTCAGGTACAAGCACAAACAATCAATCTTTATCAGTCTTTACTGGATGTTCCCATCCTGAGTTTGTAGCTCTCCGTGCCTTGCTGTCTAAAGACTTTAAGAAGGCAATCATCCTAGGTTTCCAATAGTCATAATTAGAGCCATCCATAATTGGTGGTCTATTTGTAAATCCTATATCTTTATCCATATTACCAGAGTTTATCTTCCCTAGATCTCACCCAGAAAATAACAGGCGGGGTGCCTGCTCTGATGCCAATTGAAATTCTAGCAAGCACACAATGGATGTTATCACGGATGTTATAACATCCAATGTAACACAGACTACTGGGCTTACTAATAAGCTGTAAATGGAAAGCAGTAAATAACACAAGTAATTGTTCACCTAGTTCAGTGTCAACCACACCTACATCTGGGGGCTACCAAGCCAGGGAGGAAATTCACTATCAGTAGAATTAATTCAGAGTCAAACAACCCGTTTGCACTCTTCACTTAAGACATACCCAATGAGACTTTAGCCTAGAGACCACTAGACCAAAGTTTCCCACTCACTCCCCCTCAATCACCGCAGTGATATAAACCAATTCACAATTAAGATATGAAGACACACTTCAAACACACCTTGATCTTGCTTCACAACTTTGATCAAGTGACACAACCCTCTTGCTTAAAAGCTTTGAGTGGCACAATGAACACAATAGTTCATACACACTAAACCAATGCAATTGTACAGCTGACAATTGCTTGGCATACAAGTATCCTAAGACACACGTGAAGAACCAAAATTCTTCACTCACACAATCCACGTGAAGAACAACCTCTTCACTCACAAGACACACTCTCCAGTCTCTCTCCAGAAGCTCTGCCTTCAAGTTGTCTGCTATTTGGAGTGACTCTTATGCTATTTATAGCAGCAGACTTGCTTTGGGTCTTGATGGAGAAACTAGGTTTACCCAGGATAAACCTCTCTTCATGAAGCTGCGCACTTATCATTAGGTCAGGAGTCTTCTATGTTATCTTAAGCAATGCCTGTTATGTCGCCTAAAATAACTATGCTTCCTGGATTGTTTCCTGAAGTATAGCCTGAGCTAATAACAGAAAAACAAACTCTGTGCGTCCTGATGTCATCCGCTTGATGCCGTAACATCCAGCCATGACATTCAGCTCCACTTACTCTTAACTCTCCCTGCAGAACACTCTTCATGTATGTCATAACATCAGTTGTGACATTCATACATACAACAATGTTTTGCCATAAAATGCAGCCAATCAAGAACATCTACAATTCAGAAGTAAAGTTGATGTGTGTGAAATGTGACTTGTTGGAGCTACTCTACGAATTATTTATCGTTATCACATTTATTGATTTTAGTGCTCTGATTTTGTAATATCAAGAATGAGACGTTTGTTATGTTTTTAAGTTAATGTTGAATTTAATATTTAAATGTTTAATATTTTATTTATAAAGTTTAAAATGAAGTTGTTATGAAATAATTTTTATATGTCTATTATTAAAAGTTTTTAATGATTTTAAATAGTGATCATTGGTAACACTTTAAATAATTTAATAATTTTTTTATACAAATTTCGGGATTTAGGATCCAAAACCCAAAAGAAAATGAGATAAATTCTTTGATACCATAAATTTTGGTTAGATATAAAAATCTAATTTAAAATTTAATTGATTTAATCACCGAAACGTTTCCAATAAAATATATAACTTTTAAAAGGTAGGAGAGTTTTTTACCTCAAAAAAATAACTTTTACGAATACAATAAAATATGATTAAGTTGTTACAAAATAATAAATAAATATTACAATGAACAAAATGGGAAGAATAGTTGACAAAGGTTGAAAATTTTCGTTTCAGTGAGGAGTGAGAGAATTCTCTTGCATTCTTCTCCGACGCATTCTCCATCATGTCTCCTTCCTCACTTGTAATCTCTTTCCCTATTTTGACTTCAATTTCAATCTCTTCTGTTTTCAATTTTCTGTGAACTCTGATCTCATCAACATTTGCATGAACACGATCATGATTTTTTGTTTTTTATACAACAGATCTGATTTCGCTGAATTTTTTGTTGTAATTGAATTTTATCATCTAATTTGTTAATCAATTTTTGCGATTTTGATTTTGGTAGAAAATTGAAACTTCAAGCAGCATTTAGACCTCTTTCTTCCGTTTGATTTAACAGTATTATATGCGTTTCTTGTTGGTAGATGATGATTTTGATATACAATGTGTTATTTGATTTCAGATTCATTAGAATTCAAATTGAGTATTTGTTTTTTTGACTAAGAGTTGAATTATAGTTAGTGATAGTTCTAAATTGCAATTCCTAATTGTGTCTGCAATTTAACGAATTTAGAGGTTTTTGCAACTGGAACGGCATTTGTAGCTGCAATTGGGGCCACAATCGTCTGTATTTTACTGTAATATAATGGTTCACAGGGTAATCACAACTGCAATCCGTAATTTAGAACGATTAGTTGTGTGAATAGATTGATTGCTAATCACTACTATGTATATGATGTCAGTTTATGGGGTATTTACATCTTTTTCTTGAATCTTGCTTGCTTTTGTTATAAAAATTGATTGAATCCGGTTGATAAGAAATACTATGATTGTGGAAGACTATAGATTTTATGAGATGTTTATGAAGAAAGTGATGATCTTGTATTGTGTGTGTTATTGTTAGGAGCTGTGTCCTTCTGTAAAGAATATCATTCTTCTGGATTCTGATGGGAGACGTGTGGCGGTTAAGTATTTTACAGATGATTGGCCGACTAATAGTGCAAAGGAAACTTTTGAGAAGTTTGTATTCACAAAGACTCAGATGACCAATGCTCGCACAGAAGGTGAGTGCTTCCTTCTCTAGAGGTATTTTTATCTTGTGATTAGAATTTGGAATAGATTGATTGCTAATCACTACTATGCATATGACCTCATTTGATGGTTTGTTTTTACGTTTGACAGCGGAGATAGCAATATTTGAAAATAACATTGTTGTTTACAAGTTTGTCCAAGATCTTCACTTCTTTGTTACCGGGAGTGACCAAGAAAATGAGCTTATCTTATCCTCCGTTCTGCAGGCATTTTTTGATTCTGTTGGCATCCTGCTCAGGTTGCTTTCTGATACTTAACTTGTTTGTCTATGCATGATATTCCAAGGTGTTATCAATCTATCACTATGAGTTTACTGGCTTCTCCCTTTTTTCCTCTAGAGGCAATGTGGACAAGAAGGCAGCACTTGAGAACTTGGATGTCATTCTGTTGTGCATTGATGAAATTATTGACGGCGGGTATGTCATAGGCAATTTATAATAATTTTATCTTCTTCCTTTATTTGTTTGTTATCAGATAGATGCAATTATTATATTTTTTATGATCGTAAAAACTAAAGTCACACAAGATAAGGACAACGTTAAATTAGGACTGGAATCATTAGAAAGAAAATTAGGATTTCCTCATTAATCATTATAAATTGATGCTAGAATCATATCTTTGATGATTTTGACATATACAAAGAAAACACGTGGAAATACCAGTAGAGAAGGTAGACCATATGATGAACGTACATGGTTCCATAGTTTAGTGGTGGGGGAACTAGGGAAATTATTGACTGAACAATTAGGAGATATTTGGATTTAAATGGCTTATCACTTAGTGAGAATTGAGAAAAGACTTTGGTTGTTGAAAAAACAAAATGTGTTCATTGAACTGCTATTCGGCTAGAATAGAGCATAAATAGTAAATGCTAGAGTTTGGAGCTCTCCGAGTTTAACCTAATTTCTTGAATCCTCCGAGTGTTCAAATTCTCAAGACACAAATGGGATTGTATAGGTTTTCAAAAGGTTTACTTTAGAGTAATTATTGATTTTATCTGGTGTTATTGATGTGTGATGTAACAAACATTACCTGCACAACTACTATTCTGTATCCCTAGCCAGCGCAGATTTGAATATATGAAACTTCTACCAGAAGTTTCACAATTTTTTTCATACATCTATTTGTTATGTTCTTTTCACCGTTAAGTCAGTCACATGCCCCTGATTGGTTTGCAATTTGGGCCCATGATCTCATTATTCGTTATTCTTCTTAAATGATAAGACATTTAGATCAAAACAATTATTTGGATGAAGCACAAGCTTAAATGCATGTTTGTTTGGAAATTTGAATAATGGCGCTCTAAGCCATGCCTTTTATTTTAGAGATCTCGGCTTAACCTTGGAAGGTGTGAGTGTAACCTAAATTTTGGATAGAATGCATCACACATCTATAGTTATCTCACTCAAATTGCATGTCTCCATATTCCGTGCAGTATTATTCTTGAAACTGATCCAAATGTTATAGCCGGGAAAGCTGCAAGTAACAGTATAGATTCTGGAGCTCCTCTGTCTGAACAGGTATGTTGCTTCCTTCACTTTGATACCATAAAATCAAACTGAAACGAAACTCATTTATTTAGGTATAACTGTATTTCTTTCCATTGCAGACACTAGGTCAAGCACTTGCCTCAGCTAGGGAACATCTTACAAGATCCTTTCTTAAATGAACCACATGAAATTCAGCAACAGAGAACACTTATAGTTTGGTGTTTCCTATACCGCTTTTAAGAATCAATCTTACTTCATATTTCGCTCTCAAATCTCAATACTGATGTTACTTGTGCTGTGAAAATTAGTTTTGATATGCGAATTTTGAGATCATAGCTTAAACTTGTTGAGTATTAGCAATACAATACTGCTAATCTGTATCTGCTTATAATACAGCGCCCAGGCCAAAATCTCACGCCAAGGGTGATGAGGTCAACAAAATTTGTCACAATAAACTTATCTCAGGGAATTGAACGCAACACATTACTCCATATAGATTAATTAATTTGTTCATTAAACATAAAATTGGTTAATTCATTTTATATAATATATTAAATGAATGGATATCTATCCAATTCGTGTGAAATTTTTTTTGGACCTTCTAATCAATTATGATTTATATTATTATTAATAGTTTTTTATTTCTCAAATTAATTTTAAAAAGAATTTTTTTATACAAAATACTGCCTTTTTTATTTTTAAAATTTGTTATTTTTATATGATTTAAATATAGAGAAATTCTCACAGAAATATGAGCATTCAATTTTCCATAAGTTAATTTTTTTAATATAATTTTTTTTCTTCGTTTTTAGATAACTTATATGTACACTTACATTTAGTGTTAAGAAGTTTTTGAAGTAATTTAAGGGTTGTGATCGGTTATCACCGGTTTGTAACCGGTTACATTAAGGTCTGAGATACATTTCATTCCAATAATAAAAAAGTCAAGTTTTCGCAAGTGTAATCAGTTACTCAGTTTGGTGTAATCGGTTAACACTGAAACGAAATTAATTTCTATTTTATTCAGTGTCAAGTGTAATCAGTTACTCACTTTGGTGTAATCGGTTACAAAAACGAGTTTTTATATTTTCAGTTATTGTATTTGGTCAAATTAGATCTCAACTGATTTGTAACTCACATATAAGTGTTTAGGATGCACACTGACCATGGTTAATGCAATTATAACATTTCACCCTCAATTCTCTCTCTCTCTCTCTCTCTCTCTCTCTCTCTCTCTCTCTCTCTCTCTCTCCACTTCCAAATTTCTCCACCATTGTTTCACCAATCTTGTGGTTGTTTGTTCCAACATTTGGCATCAAGAGACTGGTTCAGATTCACAAACACCTAGTGTGCAACATAAATTCTGTCTCCAATGAAGACATTCCTACAAATTTATCCACCATTGATGCGAAGAACTACGACAAATGGTGCAAGCAAATGAATGTGTTGTTTGCCTACCAAGATGTTCTTGAGGTCATAAAAAATGATGTTAGTCCTCTTCAAGCTAATGCAACAGAGGCGCAACAAGCATCACATATGGAAGAAAAGAAAAAAGATTCCAAAGCCTTGTTCTTGATCCATCAATGTGTTGATGGCAAAAATTTCGAGAAAGTTGGTGATTGAAATCGTCGAAACAAGCATGTGAGATCTTAGAGAAAGCTTATGCAGGGAATGACAAGGCAAAGATGGCGAGGTTACAAACTTACAAACGTCAGCTCGAATTGATTCAAATGGAAGAGAAGAAGACAATCAACAATTTCACAACGAGAATCACTCAGTTGGTGAACCAAGTGAAGACATGCAAAGAAACTGTTACAAAGCAGTATGTTGTTGCTAAAACATTTCATTCTTTAACACCAAGATTTGACAACATAGTTGTGGCGATTGAGAAGTCGAAGGATCTTGCGACGATGAGCAAAGAGGAGCTGCAAAGTTCTCTTAAGGCACATGAGCAAAGGAATAAGTGATAAGTACAAGAGATCGAAAGGAAAATGACCAATGAAGAACAAATGAAATTTTTAGAATTTTGGTGGAAAAGAGTCCCAAAATTCAAATAATTCGACTTGTCAAAGGGGTGAGAGAAACTACAACAAACATGGTGGTCAAGGAAACTATAGAGGTGAGAGGAAGAAGTTTAACAAGAGCAAGGAGCAGTGTTATAAGTGCCAACAATTTATCATTTTGTAAAAGAATGCAATGCGAACAAGAAGGAATCTCAAGGGGATGAAGCCAAGGTTACAAGACAAGAGTTTGATGAAGAGAATACACTATTTGTCATGATCACAGAAGCGAATTGTAGCAGTAAACAACTGCCGAACAGCAGTTGCAGCAACTCAAAGAATGCTGAAAAATTGAGTTGTGGTCGGTTGAATGATATGATTGACCGATTATGTGAATATGGAAGACACCATGATGAGTATGAAAGGATTTCAATGCAGTGAGGAATGGTATTTGGACTTGGTTGTTCAACTTATATGACGGGAAGAAACAATTGGTTTATCAAAATCAATTATGTCATGAAGAACAAAGTAAAGTTCGCGGATGACACCACTTTAATGGCCGATGGGATCGATGATGTTTTGATCATAAGGAGGGATGAAGGAAATTCCTTGATCAAAGATGTCTTGTATATTCGGGAAATCAAATGTAAACTTCTAAGTATTGGGCAATTACTTGAGAACGGTTATAAGATTCACATGGAAAATAAGGGGTCCCACATTATGGATGCAAATAGAATTTTGGTCCTTAAAGCGCCTATGGCTGCCAATAGAGCCTTCAAGGTTGAGTTGAAGGTTATGGAGCATAGATGTCTTACTATTGCAGCAAGTCATGAAGAGTGGATGTGGCACTATCGTCTTGGGCATCTCAATTTTAGAGATCTCAAAAACATGCAAAAGAACGGAATGTAACGGGGTTGCCATCGACCAACATACTAGTTGAAATTTGTGAAGAATGTGTGAAAGCAAAACAACATAAGGGAAAATTCAGCAAGGATGCAGACCGGAGAACCAAGAATCACCTTGAGGTGGTGTATTTGGATGTGTGTGGGCCAATGCAAGTAGATTATATTGGCGGCAATAAGTACTTTGTCACATTTATTGATGATCATAGTAGAAAGATATGAATATACCTAATCAATAGAAAGTATGAGGTATTTGAAGTTTTCAAGAAGTTCAAGTCCATAGTGGCGAGGCAAAGTGCTCACAAGTTCAAAGTGCTCAAAATGGATGGTGGAGGAGAATATGTCTCAAATGACTTTGGGAGGTTTTTGTGACCAAGAAGGAATTATACATGAGGCAGTACCACCCTATACACACAACAAAATGGTGTAGCCGAAATAAAGAATCGGCCGATCATGAACATGGTAAGAAGCATGTTAACAGAGAATAAATTACCAAAAGAACTACGGGGAGAAGCGGTATCCACAACTGCCTATTTTTTGAATAGGTGCCCTACAAATAAGTTGAAAAATGTAACACCGCAGGAATCATGGTCGAAATTCAAGCCAAATCTAAATCATTTGAGACTCTTTGGTTCCGTTGCATACCGACATGTTCCTGGTCAACTTAGAAAGAAGTTGGATGACAAGGGAGAGGTGATGATACTTGTTGGATATCACTCTGATGCGTCTGCAAGTGCACCGAAATATCGAAGTAATATAAAAGATTGTCGAACCCACAGAGACCAATGTCAACCTACCGTTATCTATTGTTACGACGTAAAGCTAAGGCTAATGGAATTTAGAAAGTTAAATGCGAATGAAATTAAATGCAAAGGAAATAAAGATTATTAATTTTAGAAATATATTGATAAGGGGTATCGGTATGCAAGGCCTTAGTTATCGGGGATTCGACAGGTCGCCAGTGCTTTTTTAGTCTTTGCAGAAACTTTTCAGGAGAAAATACTCATTTAAAGACCTTTGCCTCACGATGGTTGTTGACTCGGGTCATAATTCTAAGGCGGAATGTACGCTCTTGCAGTACCATTCGGGGTTAAAACTACTTTTTGAAAACAAATAAATTCTGATTTCTTTTAAAGCGCTTTCGTTGTGTTTAAAATTAATGCGTAGTTCTTACTATCCGGTTTGAACCCCAGCTTTCGCGTGCCGGCTCGTGCCTTAATGAATTTCCCACTTTCGTGGCAAAACTAATGTAAATAGCTTCTCACTGTCGTGACGAAGGTTTATTTAGAAATTTATATTAAAAACTACGGCTAGAAAGGTGTTTGTAAAAAGGTAAGACACACCGGTTATTATCGAATCCCGTCCTACTAATCCGATCACATACCGATAATACTAATTTAGCTAGAAATGATAATTAATGCAAGCGGAAATAAACATAAACAACAAAATGATATAACATGCCTAATGAAGGAAATAAAACAATAATTCAATTAATAAGAACCTGGAAAGTAGTACTGAAATTGAATTCTTGAGTAGTCCTCCACAATGTCGGCATGATTCTACTATGGCGAAATAAAAGTGCAGAAAGAAATACAATGTTCTGAACTAAAGGGAAAAGGGAAAGGAAATAAAAGAAAAAAAAATAGCTTCAATAGGAATTTCGGCAGCACTTCGATACGTCGAAGCCCCCCCCCCCCCCCAAACTGTGAATCTAAGGCCTATTTATAGGAGATATTTCATTTCTCAACTTCCAGAGATCATGGGTGAGTTATAGAGGGAGTGGGAGTAACTTCCAGTAGTGGGCAGTGAGTGGAGAAAGTGTAGGAAGAAATTTAGTTGAGGGTCGTGCAGACTTCTGTTTTATTCTAATACTTGGCTCGTGACGGTCGTCATGGTCTTGTGACGGTCGTGTTGAACGTGACGACCGTGATGGTCTTGTGACGACCGTGATGCTCGTGACGAGCGTGAGGAAGCTGTGACGAGCGTCACACGCACAAAATCTGTACTTTCTCTTTTTCTTCTCAATTTCTTTCTTTCTTCTTTCTTTTCCTTCCATTTCTTCTTCTATTCTTTCTTTAATCCAAATTCTCCACAATCTGCACAACGAAGTAAATTAACCGTATACTCGAACATAAATCGAGATAAATTAACAATAGTCACAAGTAAATCCATGTAAATCGAGTCAAATAAATGATATAATTTCACGTTATCACACTCTACCAATGGTTACAAACTGTTTTATGCTGTAAACAGGAGGATCGTGATTAGTCGGGACGT